CCCAATTTCCACTGACCCACTCACTCATAATCAATCATGAATGTCAAAGATTTGTCTACATCACAACTCATATATCTATCTAAATAAATAAAACGGCAATTTCTGTCTGTCCGTGTGTCTGAAAGTCCACTAACCAATGCCACACTTGCTCTACATAACTTTTTTGGAATCAGGATGATTCCGGGTTTGAAAATTTGCCTTTCACCTGGCGCTTGAATATCCAGCATTGATATCTGTGACCGGATGAAGAGAGAATTGTTAAAAATTCAAATGTTAAAATAACTAGAAAAAAAAAACAAAAAAAAACTAGTAATTTTAAAAGTTTTTAATTTATATTGAGTTTAAAGCAACAAAAACTTTGTGAATTTAAAAAATTTTCTTTTAAATTCAGTTCAAAATATCTCCAAAACTTTGTGAATTAAGGTAATCAATTCATTTTATTTCGTCAAAATGCCAAGAAATCAGAGAGAGGTCTCGTGACGTGGGGTTTTGAAGTCTCGCGGGGTTTTTGATTTGAAGAACTCAACTCAGTTGAAGTTCCACGGAGTTTGTGATTTGAAGAACTCAATTTTCGACCTGAACTGGAATTTCGGCCCAAATCGGTCTTTTGGCCGGAAATGAAACTTCTAACTCGAATCAGAGTTAAAATAAGGTTTTGTTAAAAATTAATTTTAAACATTAGGTATCACGTTTTCGTAGAGGCCCCTATATAATTGCGTATTTAGGCAGCAATCTCTTTTTTATACAAGTTTCATTAAATACGACTGACAAGGTACTGCATTTAAGCTTTTTATTTACTTTTTCTTGTGTTCAAATAGTTTTTTTTTCTCTCTTTTCTGGACATAAGGTGTTTAAAAAGTGTCCCAAATGTTCTGCATATCCGATCGCCTTCGCCTATTCTTTTGGCCATTATCAAGGTTTTTTTTTTTTTTAATTCTAACTGAACGTGTAGATTTTTATGTATGTATCTAGTGTTATGGGACTGTTTTTTGTTTCTTTTTAATTTCAAACACGGTCAGCACATTCGACATGATCGACTTTTCCAAATTATGAATAATCCTTCTCCGACAAGGAGGAAATTTCGCCAAAAATTATCCGAAGTTAATTTCGGAAAAGAACTACAAGAAATATAGTCGAAGCTTTCGACTTTCTTAAGTCAGCATCGAGATAAGTAAAGATAAATGGCAATCGTGAGTGTTGTGACGTAGGTGGGGTGTGGCGTGTGAAGTGTCCTCGAGTGCGCTGACCGGTAGACTGTTCAAGAAAATAATTAAAGGGTCTATTTCAAATTCTTTATATATATATATATATATATATATATATATAAGTGATTAATTTGAGGATTTAGACTAGTCAAGTGATTAATTTGGGGATTTAGGCGAATTACTATATATATATATATATATATATATATATATACATCTAAAAAATAAGGAAAATTAATTCATTTTAATAATATGTGGAAATATCCACTCTTTGCCTGAAGAAGGTCAAGAGATCCAAACTCGTGTTGTAAAATTAAAAATGAAGCTTGAAATAATTAAAGATTTCTCGAATGAGCAGTCCGACTGATGTATTATACTCTGTTTAAAAAACAAAAAAAAGAACAAAAATAAAAATGGAACGTCTATTTCAAATACGAATATCCACTAATAATAACCTCTGAAGTAATAAAATGTCGGATTAAAAATAATTGTTTTAATTCTTTATATATATATATATATATATATATATATATATATATATATATATATATATATATATATAAGTGATTAATTTGAGGATTTAGACTAGTCAAGTGATTAATTTGGGGATTTAGGCGAATTACTATATATATATATATATATATATATATATATATATATATATATATATATATATATATATATAACATCGAAAAATAAGAAAATTAATTCATTTTAATAATATGTGGAAATATCCACTCTTTGCCTGAAGAAGGTCAAGAGATCCGAACTCGTGTTGTAAAATTATGGAAAATAAAGCATAATATATATTTTTTAAAAATTCACATTACAACCAAGAACGTTTGCGACCTTTCTCTTCTTTTTTATATATATATATATATATATATATATATAGAGAGAGAGAGAGAGAGATAGCCCTGTATAAAATTAGGGGGCAGGTGTATAAAAGTTAGAAATACAATTGAAACTCATTTATTTTATCATCTAAAGAAAAGGAACAAACCTTTTAAAGTAAATTTATCCGATATTTAATACTTGGTGTTTGGCTCCTTTTGCTTCTATAACTGCCTCCATGCGCTTTTGCACATTGAAGACCAGCTTAGCACATGTAGTTGGTTCGATTTTCTTCCATTCTTCATGAAGTTTGGCTTCTAATTCGCGTTTTGAAGATTATTTGTGCATCATCATTCTTGTACCTAAGCATAATCCCAGATGTTCAATGAGATTCAGCTCAGGGGATTGAGGGGGCCGTTTCATTACCCTCGCTTCATTTTTTTAAATCAACCCATTGAAACTCTGGATGTGTGGCATGTTGTATCATCTTGTTGGAAGATTACTGTTATACCTAACGTACCTATTCTATTATTAATAGACTCTCCCACACACAATAAATAATAGTAGTAGTAGTAGTAGTAGCGGTCGACAATTGGGCTCAGTGGTGTTGAGTGAGTCAGTCGACGTCGGACATTGAAGTATCCACGACCACAACTAGATTGCTGCGTCATTAACTATTATTGCAAGTTCCTAACGTTTTGTACGTCGAACCTAATTTAGGACGACTTAGTGAAATACAAACCTCTACTGTGAAAACTACTCTACAACACAATTACTCAATCTGGTATGTTATTGTTGAAAACTTTCACCAATGTAGGTTGCTAACATTGGTCTAACATGCTTGTGTAAGTGTTGGAATTCATTCTACCCTTGCATATGAATAAAATTCCTGTCTCAGATGACGATATGCAGTCCCAAACCATTACGCTTCCACTTCCAAATTTTACAGTTGAGGCAATACATTGAGCATCATATATTTCTCCAACTTATCGACGAACATAAACAACTCTAGGGGTTCTAAAAATATGATAAAAATATAAATTTTAGGAATAATTTTCTATTCAATAAAAATACAATATTAATAAGCGTAATAAAACCAGTTATACACTTGATAATACAGCAAAATGTGGATAATTACGGAAGTGTGCAAATCGAGGGATGTTTATGCTTATGACAGGCATCTTCTATTCGTCCCTGGGAGTGGCCCTCTACAGCTTCCTGTCCATTGTGACTCTTAATAAAATGTGTCTTTTCTCCATCATGCCTTGTTTGTCTGGGTTTTCAACATTGACAAGCAATTATATATGCATCGCCAGACAAAATACAGAGGACATTTTTTTCATTCCAGCCCCAGCAAAACGTAGAGATGTAGAGATTATTTCTGTAAGGTTCAGCTAGAAACGAGAAAAGCCGGAAAGAATGATGCGTGACAGAAAAAAATGAGTTTAATTCTTTTTGATACTATAAAGTGATTTGCTTTCATTCTCATATCGAAAAGAAAATAAGCAAAATCATACTTATTATAAAACCCAGGTTGTGTGTGTGTGTGTGTGTGTGTGTGTGTGTGTGTGTGTGTGTGTGTGTGTGTACATATTGGATCGGATTTCCTACATTTTTCAACCGATTTCAACAAAACTTCACAGGACTACGTAAAATTACCTTGTGGTGGTTCTGACGGCGCCAAAAATTGGAAAAACACAATTGTTTTTGCACGAAATCAATTTGAAAACACGATTAAGAGACATCGCTTTCGCAGAATGAAAGGGGGACAACTCATATCGAGTTATACTTATTATAAAACCCAGATTGTGTGTGTGGTTGTGTGCGTGTGTGTGTTTGTTTATATATGGGATCGGATTTCCTACATTTTTCAACAAAACTTCACTTTTATTTTGGCAGGTAGTGTTTTCTATTGTCTGGCACACTTTTTTATTTATTTTTACATTCAGAATACTTTAAAAATTCCATTTACAAGACAATTATTTATAATAAAATTCTATTCAATCGGTAGACTCATAACGATTGAAAACAATGTTTTTATTTGAGTTTGGCTTTGACCAATTCGTAAAAAAAAAACAACTCAGACATCCGTGTCCGTCAACCTTAAACAATAATCTTTGTCAATTTTATTTTTCAGTCTTTATGATGGTCGATACTTGATCTATCTCTTACTGTTACATCTCCAGGCAACACCGGGCTCTACTGCTAGTAGGTTCATAAAGATTACCTACCTTAATAGAACCGGTTCCTGGAAATTTAAGATGCTACCACTGAAAAATGATCATCAGATACCCTTATTGTAATATTTTGAGTTAGCCGAGGGATTTTAATGACTCATATCCCCAGTTGCCTGGCTACTGTCCGCAAACGATGCGAGCATTTCGATAATCTACCGCTAATTTCATGGC